ATTATTTATACTGTGTTTGGTATTATACCGGATAAGAGAAATCAAATTTAAAATAAAATTAAAAAAAATTGAAATCATCTTTTTTTTTTCCGCAAATCTCTCTGCACCCCCCAAACTCCCTCCCTCTCTCTCAGTCGCAGATCTCTCTGCACCCCCCCCCACCCCAAAACCCAGTTTGATGATTACTGGAAAAGAAAAAGAATAGAAAAAACAAAGTTGTCAAATGCAGGAAGAACCCAGCAGCCATAAACCCAGCAGCCACAAAGTTGTCCCAAATCTCTCCGTCCCACCCCCAAAATCGCCCAAATCCATCAACAAAATCAGGGAACAATTAAGCTAAAAACTCATAAAAAAACATCTCCAGTCCTATAATTCTCTACAATTCCTAGAGAAACCCAATTCAAAAAGTTAGCGTTTTGCAGCTCGAGTTCTGAGAATTCTGCAGAAAGAAAGAGTTGGGTTGCTAGGAGCGGCGGAGGAGATGTGGAGGTTCGGGGGTCGGTGTTATTGGGGAAGGAAGGAGCGGCGGAGCAATGGGGGGACGAAGGAGGGGGACGAAGTGAGCCAGGAGAGTGCTGCGAGAGAGAGGGGGACGAAGTGAGCGAGAGAGATGACCCGACTAAATTATACGGAGGTTTTGGTTGGGATAAATAAGCGGGTAGGAGGAGTATAAAATGAGTGGGCCCGGATTAAATAATCCGGTGCTTATTTAATACGAAGTTCACCAAACATCTGTTTCGTACTATTAATACTATCCGGTGGTCTTATACGGCGTGCCAAACGAGGCCTTATTGTCCCAATTGGATCCCTTTGCTTTCACACCTCTCCGTCATTTGAATGGTCGGCACAAAAACAGAGTGTCGTTCACATTTTAAATTTCCATCTTTCTATAGGACAAGGATTGTCTGCACTCCATTTCCGGTGCCCTTCTCGTGCCCTCTTATTTTGTGTGGTCACGGTTAAGCCACGTCAACATTTTATATTGTTTTTTTTATAGATATAATAAGACAAAAATGAAGAGTAATATAAAATGTTGACGTAGCTTAACCGTTATCACACAAAGAAGATAGCACATGAAGGGTACCAGAAATAAAGGGCAGACAATCCTTATTCGTTTCTATCGCCGTCACAAAACAAAGGCGGAAAGAAAAAGAGTAAATTAAAGCCGGTCCCCTTATTTATTATATGTTTCCCACCTCGTACGCTTCTGTAGGGACGATCTGGGCCGCACCTTTTTGTTTGCTTCTACACGATGTAATGAGTGCAACACGAGTATGCCATTTTACGACGGACATCAATGAAAAAGCGTCGGGTAGAAAAAATTGAATAAATTAATTATAATCTAAGATTCTAAACTATTTATTAACATAACTATCATTCTCAATAAAAATAAAATAAAATAAAAAACTTTCATTGTCAATAAAAATCTTAGGGGGCGTTTGTTGCGCCGGACTATCTCGGACTAGACTAGCTTCAAGGACTAAGCTGGATTGGCTTAGACTAGACTAAGCTGGACTAATTTAGTGAAGCGTTTGGTGCAGTGTTAGACTAAGAAGCTGGATAATAACAAATTCTAATATTATATTATTTAATATATAAATTATTAATATTTTATTATGATCTAGGTGACCGGAGATGACGAGGAGTCTATCGGGAATGGTTGTTGAGCACGACGAGGACGAGAGAGGATAGTCTTAGCTAGTCCTATGGTTATTGGGGGGTCTCGCTAAGACCTCTTAGTGAAGGGTTTTGTCCATGCTAATCCCCTTTAGTCTCATTAATGTTAGTCCCAGCATGGAACAAACACAGTATTTGACTAACAGTTAGTCCAGTCCAGTCCAGTCCCACTTAGTGAGGGCAAACAAACGCCCCCTTATAGAATTAATGTTCTAACTATCTAATCAAAACTGAACATAAATATAAAAACATAGACAGTAATGTAATTTCATATAAAACAAATTATGCAGTTTTTTAAAGCATCACCTACATATGATTCTAACATAACTCTAATATTAAAAAAAAAGAACTTTAACAAAAAGCTCCCGATACTGTTCACTTTAACAAAAAATCACATTTTTATACTAAAAAGTCAATCCTGATACTATTCACTTTATCTTTTATTTTGTCTTTATCTTTAGAACTCAAAGTTTTCAAACTACTTTTATTAGTTTTCCTATAAAAAAAACATTTTCTCCCTTCTCTCTCCAATTCCACGTTCTCTCTCTCTCTCCTCCTCTCTCCTTCCTTTTTTTTTTTAAAAAAGTCACTTAGTAGTATTCATCTTCTATTGTAAGTGTTAGGTTTTAGGTTCGACTCGCACCAAATACGAGTTTGAACTATATTATAGTTAGCCTATTATGATGTTAAACCCACATCTTCCCCTTTAATGTAAATAATATCGTTTGTTTAAAAAAAATATAAAATATAAAAAGTTTCACACACTTTGTGTGGCATATGGTAGTCACCATTAAAATAAGAACTTAAAAAATGAGTAAAATTAAAAATAAAAAAAAACAAAAAAAGTTTGAAAAAAATCTCTCGTGCCCCATTCCCCGGCCTTAGTCAAAACTTTTATCATGCTTGACAATTTTTTACACGATCCGTTAACTCGGCACAAAAATAACATATTCGAGTCAACACGTTAAGAACTCGTTAACAAATCGGGTTACCAACATGATAAGATATCGCCATATCTATACAAAAGGCATGTCAATTTCATGCATGATTTGTTAACCTGACACGAAACGACGCGGTGTGTTAACGAACCATGTCATTGTTGGATCATCTATTAAGATAATAAGTTTGATATGACACAATACATTTAGATAACAGGCATGATATAAAAACAAAACGAACACAACAAAGCTGATCTGTTTAACAGATCTACCCATCACCATCCCCTTATAAATTAAGGGAGATATTGATATTTAAAAAAGGGACACCGACTTCCCGTATTTATGCCGACAACGGAATCAAACTTACTTGTTTTTACACTCGAACCAGGTACCAATTAATACTGGGAATTGGATTGTCTGCCCTCTTTATCTTATTCCCTTCCCATCTTTTTTTATTTATGTAGTCACGGTTAAGCTACGTTAATATTTTATATTCTCATTGTTTTTTGTCTTATTATTTCTATAAAAAAATTAATATAAAATGTTAACGTGACTTAACCGTGAGTCCGTGACTACATAAATAGGGAAGGATGGGAAGGGAATGCGATGAGGGAGGGCAGCCAATCCAGGTCCTTAATATTGACCATACAATAACTTTGTTCTCAACCAGACATAATCTGAATGCTTATCTTCCCATCATTTTCTTGACTACAAATAGTGAGGAAAGTGCTGGATGCAAGAAAAAGCTGAGGAGAAATGGAGAGGAGGGTTCATGTTGTGGTGCTTCCATATCCAAGCCAAGGCCACATCAACCCTGTCCTCCAGTTTGCAAAACGCCTTGCCTCCAAAGGCGTCAAGGCCACGTTGGCAACCACCACTTACACTCTCAACTCCATTCATGTCCAAAACGTTGGAGTCGAGCCCATCTCTGATGGGTTCGACGAGGCTGGCTTTGCTCAAGCCGCAGACGAGGACACTTTCCTTCGGTCATTCAAAACCAACGGCTCAAGAACCCTATCGCAGCTCCTCCAAAAATACGAAAGCTCCGATTTCCCTGTGAACTGTATTGTGTACGATTCGTTTTTGCCGTGGGCTCTTGACGTGGCCAAGAAACATGGCGTCTATGGAGCCTCGTTCTTTACCAACTCGGCGACTGTGTGCGTCATTTTTTCGCACATACATCGCGGTTTAATTTCACTGCCGTGTAAGCTCGAGGACATGCCCTTGTTGGTTCCTGGCCTGCCTCCGCTCAACTTACCTGACCTGCCTAGCTTTCTTAAGAAGCCGGATAGTAACCCGGCTTACTTGAAGATGAAGCTGAATCAGTATCCTAACTTGGACAAAGCTGATTGGATCTTTGCAAACACATTCGAAGCACTCGAAGGCGAGGTAAGCAAATACTAGATAATTTAACCTATGTTTCTTGTCAAACGATTATGTTATATTATCATACTGCCAAATTTTATCGTTTTATCGTTAACGGAAAACAACGCATATCTTCTCATCATACTATCAACATTGCGTGCAAGTATTGATTTTATGTTAAAAAAATGAAAGGCTGCGCGAGGAATATCAGAGCTCTGGCCTGTGAAGTTGATTGGCCCCATGGTGCCTTCAGCGTATTTGGATGGGAAGATTAAGGGGGATAGAGGATATGGAGCAAGCCTATGGAAGCCTCTCGGCGAAGAATGCGCCAAATGGTTAGAAGAAAAGCTACCCAAATCGGTCGTGTATGTTTCCTTCGGAAGCATGGTGTCTTTGACCGCAAAGCAGATGGAGGAGTTGGCACTGGGATTGAAAGAAAGTGGACTGTATTTCATGTGGGTGATAAGAGAATCAGAACGCAGTAAGCTGTTCGATGGAATTGTTGACTCGGCAAAGGAACAGGGTTTGTTTGTGACATGGTGCAACCAGCTGGAAGCGCTGGCACATGAAGCAGTTGGGTGCTTCGTGACACATTGCGGTTGGAATTCGATACTTGAAGGGCTCAGCCTTGGGGTGCCGATGGTAGCTGTACCGCAGTGGGCAGATCAGCTGACTAATGCAAAGTTTGTGGAGGAGATATGGGAGGTTGGAGTGAGAGCTAAGGAAGACGAGGAGGGGGTCGTGAGGAAAGAAGAGTTTATTGGGTGCTTGAAGGAAGTAATGGAGGGAGAGAGAAGCAAAGACATAAAGAAGAATTCGAGTAAATGGAGGGAGATGGCTAAGAAAGAATTTAGTGAAGGGGGGAGCTCTAACAAGAGCATTGGTGATTTTGTAGAGCATCTGAGGCTTGCTAATAAGAATGGAGAAGCAAAGGAGTTTATGAAAGGCACAAATTAAACTAGTTTATGCCTCTTCCGAGCTTATTTTCTTATGGATCATGAGATTCACTCGTCAATATCATTGTTGTAAAAAGTTTAAAATCTATGAATATGAATTGCGTGTGCTTCTTTTTACATCAGTTTCGTGGCAACCTAGCTTTCTTATGCTATAACATCCTCATCAACATCTATGACTACGAGTGTGATTTTTCGGCAGACATACTACAAGTATAAAAATGATAATCAGTCCCATCCCTTATATCATAACAAATATGTACTCAAATCATAATGAAGTTATTTAAGATGCAAGTTCTATTCTACTAACCTTGCCGGTCTTAAGTGAGAACGCTCTCCTCATTAGCTGATGAATCCTTGATTCTTCGCAAAGCAGCTGTAAAAATAAGAATGATAGAATCAAGCTCCATATGTAATAACCAATCTGTTTCCAATCAGAACCAAATCATAGATGCAAGTGAACCAAAATTCAAATGAACTTCTAGTACACTACAGTTTTTCAGCATATACACTTGATTTTTATCTCGAGTTTTTGGCATTTTAGACAGTTGAAGATATGAGCTTTCAGGGAAAAAGAGATCAGAAATTTACCTTTTTTCTTGAGCTTATTTCGGAAGCTTCTTTTCCTGCTAAATGCTGTCTCCTACAAACAATAAGATAGCAAACTAGTCATTACCAAGATGTACCAAAAGACTCCATTGTCAATCAGAGCAGTAGAAACATAACAATATGCAATTCATTATCTAAAACCGAGGACTAGGAGGAAGAAAAACTGTTGAATCACAATTAAGAATATCTTGTTTCAAATTGTGAGTTTTATAATTACCACAGGCAGATCAAGTTCCCCTGCCCGACGAACTGCAGCAACCAGGTCACGGTTAGATTCTGTATACATGCTAGTCACAAGTCCATACTGACCAGCTCTGGCTGTGCGACCAACCCTGTGTATAAAGTCCACGGCAGAAGTAGCAAAATCCGCCTGAAATGAGTAATTGATGCCAAGAGTTAGCTCTGTTCATGCTAATATATACCCGATGAATACTTGAAACAGTATCAAAAACTCAGACACACCTGGATAACGTGTGATACATTTGGAATGTCAACGCCACGTGCGGCAGAATCAGTGCATACGAAAATACCACCTTTCTCTTGAAAATCAACCAATGTCTTTGCACGGTCTTCCAAGGAGCAATCTTTATGGTATTGGTAACATTCAATTCCAGCTCTCTTCAATATCTTTGCTACCGATTCCACAGCCTCAACAGTATTTGCAAACACCATTGTTCGGCACTGACCAGAAGCTGATCTCGTCTCAATCAAGTAACTTCAATCCACCTTTGCTTTAACCTGAAATATATCAGAAGCAACAAATTAAAAACACTCACAACACATCAATGTTAAAACACCTACTACTAACAACCTTGACTCCAAACAAAACCCAAAAAATGCTGTAAAATCAGCAGAACACATATGTTACCTAGGGAGGAGGCAAAGGAGATTATAAACAATAACTGGTAGCTAAAAAAGGTGTCGCACCTGGGGTTGTGGCAATGGAGGTAGTTTCCACTAACCCAATCGGCCTCTGGAAACATCTTCTTCAACACTGCCCCGGCAGTTCTCTTTCCATTTGCTGGAAGAGTAGCGGCAACAAAAATGTACTGTTTACTGCTCTTATAAACTTTTCTCACTCTCCTCCAGTCTGAACTTTTTACACGCCCAGCCTCAACCTCCTCATGTACGCTACCATCTTCCTCGGAATCTCCCTCAGAATCTCCCTCTTCTTCAAATATGTCTTCAGTCTGAAGGTCGTCTTCATCTTCAAAGTGCGATGAATTGGGTTCTGATAGATTCTCTTCACTTATCCGTGACAATAGCTTTTCATCAAACCGGAGCATGTGTATGAGACGGATAACCTTATTCTGGTAACCCCCAGAGAGGAGCATATCCGCTTCATCAAATACCTATCAATGCCAAATTGACCATAAATCATGGGATTCCTTCTTCTATATTCATGCAATTGTAGATATATGATTTTGAATGGAGAAAACAAACATACCACATATTTTACACTCCTTATAAAATCCATACGACGGAAATTTTTTGGGTCAATATTATTCAGAAGAGCGGCTGGTGTCGAAACAATAATATCAGGTTCACCAACTGGCCATCCCTGCATCAACGTTTCTTATTTGTGGGAGAACTGTACCGCAAACATTCAAGGGCACACCCAAAAGAGAGATAACCACATCCTTCGAGAAATACAAGTAACACCATACAAGTGCAGAATTCTATATCCAAGACAGAATAACTAGAACATCAATACCTGTCTCCCACAGAGAGATACAACACTCAGAAGTGGTTCACCATTTTCACCACAAAGACCGTTGGCCATCCGAACCACTTGGTCGGCAAGTGTCACATTTGGACAAAGAACAAGAGAAACCTGACGGGGTTGGGACATTCCTTGATCAGAAGAAGCAACATTCGCAAATTCGTGGTGCTCATTACACAGCTTATCAATTAGGGGGACAAGGAAGCTGTGCGTTTTACCACTACCAGTTTCAGCTGCAACAACAACATCCTTCCCTGAAAGTACAGACGGTATGCTAGCAGCCTAAAATCCCAAAAACGCAAATGCATCAATAAAAATATTCAAACTTTGAAGCGATTTCACAAATTGGGATCAATAATCTGAAAACCCAGTTCCATTTTTCATTGCTCCGATGGAAAATATTGAGAAATGAAAGAATATAAGAAAAGGACTGAACTTTGCACCTGAACCAGAGACGGTTGGCCGAGGCCGGCGTTGTAGAGAGCTTGGGAAACCTTATCGGACACGCCGAGGGACGTCCACGAAATGCTTTCTTCAGTGAAAAATGTATCTCCTCCCTCCTTCCGGTACGCGGCAGTGGTGGCGGTTCCGAACCGGCGGGGGTGGCTGAGCAAGAGCAAGCTGATCCGAAACGAAGACGAAGAATTGGAATGAAGAGAGAAGGAGTTCCGGTATTGGGAGAGGAGCTTGGGCGGAGACGCGGAGAGTTTGTAGAGAGGAAGCATTGTTGTGGCGGAGCGACGGAGTATCATTTGGGGGGTTTTGGATTAGGATTTAAGGAATGTGGATAAACCCTTTCGCTGGTGTGAAGATTGGGTTTGGAAATGGAGGGAGAGGTATAAGAGGGGGATACGGTGACAGCGATAGTGGACCTGTTTTGTGACTGACGCATTTTGGCCCGTTGGATCATTCGTTAATCAAATGAGTACTTTTTGGAGGAGTAAGATTTTCTCCCGTCTTATTTTTGTCTCCTTCTCATCCCTTCTCTCACAATTTTCGTTTTGTTTTTCTCTCTATATAAAAAAAATCAATACAAAATGTTGACGTGGTTTAATTGTAACTGTTTAAATAAGAAGAAAGGAAGTGGGGAGAGATATTATAGTTTGCACTCAAATGAAGGGACATGTTTGTTCCTTATTAATGCACTTGAGTCTTTTTAAGTTTCACTAACACATTATTACTAGACCTGACAATTTCTTACTTGATCTGTTAATCTGATACAAAATGACACAAAAATAACGAGTTTCGGGTCAATTTATTAAAGCGTGGGGTCTTTATCAAGTAAATTGTTAACGCATGAAGTCGTTATTGAGTAAACCATTAACCTCTTTGGTCGTTATTGAATCACTCATTAAGAACACGATAAGATATTGTTGCCATATCTAGACATGAGGTATGCCAATTTCTTGAATGATTTGTAAACCCGACACGAAACTCCATACTCATTAACGAATCAGGTTTATTGGGTCACATATCAAGAACTTGTTAAAATAACAAGTTTGACATGACACGACACGACACGATACGATCCATTAAGATAACAAATATGATTAAAAAATGACACGAACACAAAAAACACCATCCTGGCTTAATTCACTTGATTGCCGGATCAGGATCCTCTCCTGAGCTAAGGGTGAGGATCCTCCTGAGCAAATTCATAGGACCGTTCAAATTTTATCTAACGGTTACAATTATTATAACTTTTAGAGGCCCCCATTTGTAACCCTTTGATAAAATTTGAACCATCCGATGAGTTTGCTCAGGAGAATCCTCACCCTTAGCTCAGGAGGGAATCCTGATCCTTGATTGCTACCCATCAAAAACGAAGAAATGGTGTTTGATTGCCAAGTGTCTTCTCCGTGACACATGTCATCCAACGATCAGGATTATATGCTATGGATAGCGGTTGGACGTGAAGCTCTTAGATAACGACCGCATCCAATCCCATGGAAGTAAAAACTGTAAAATTCCCGACGGCTTTTGTTGTAGAAGCCCTGGAAACAGCCAGAATAAACGTGACCAAGTCAAAGTAATGGCGCCAAAGGCAACCAGAAATCAAAGTCCGCCGTCCGATCCTCAGGGAATGTTCGCCGGAATGGTCGTCTTCTTAGTAGAAAACGGCGTTCAGAGTCGCCGTTTACAGGTCTGAAACTCACAGCTTCTCCACTCCATAACCCATGTTTTTTTTTTCTTACTTTATGTTTTGAGAAATTGGTCCGTAAGATTTCAGATTTGGAAGCAAAAATTGGTCCAAATGGGGGCCTCCATTGAGGAACAGTTAACCAAAAAGGTCACTCACATACTTGCTGTGAGCCCAAAAGCCCTCTTAGAACGAGTGGGCAGTGAGAAATTGGCTAATTTCAAAGGAGTGAGTAATTTTTCACCGTTTGATTTTCCTTGAGTCTTTGTAATTAATTTTCAATTGGGTACTTTTGAAAAGTGTAATGCAGTATAATAATTCTTCAAAGTTCCAAACTTTGGGTGATTTGCAGAGTGTTTTGGTTTATCAGTGGCTTGAGGACAGCTTGAGCTCAGGAAAATTGGTGTCTGAGGATTTGTACCCTCTAAAATTGGAAGCAGAAAAGTCTTCCAGTGATTATGTTTCGAGCGATGACGAAAAACCAAAACCGAAAAAGAGAAGATCATCTTCTCCTGGTGATGAGTTGGTTCAGACCTCAATACCCAAAACCCACGAAGCCCCAAATAAGGATCAGGTTGCAGCATTGGAGTCAACCGTGCCCTACAGCCCACCTGATTTAAATAGGAACATAACCGAGATTTTCGGGAAACTTATCAATATATATAGAGGTGGGGCATATGTAACATCTAGTTGTTTGCTTTGCATTTTGGTTTTTCAGGATTCTGATGTTGTGTGGTTGTTTCGTGTGTTGAAATTAAAGCCTTGGGTGATGACCGAAGATCATTTAGCTATTACAAGGCTATAGCGGTTATAGAGAAGCTACCTTTCAAGATTCAAAGTATGGACCAAGTTAAAGACCTACCCAACATTGGAAAGTCAATGCAAGATCATGTAAGTCAATGTGCATGATATAGGTTTGTATGAGGAGGATATATTAATTTCAATCTTTGAATATGTTTGTGCAAAGTACATGTCACTAGGTGTCTTTTGTGAAGCCGTGAGCCTTCTGAAGTATGGTTAATGTTTCCATCACAAACGGATTGTTAGGGTGAGAAATTGTTTTCAGTTGCTTAATTTGTGATCAGTTTTGAGTATAAGCGACAGAGTAAGTCTTCAACTTCAAGCTTCCTATTCTGAGAATATGCAGATTACTTCTCTGTGTGGAATGGTGAGTTTTTTTAGTTTGTCCACTTGATAACAGAAGCTGTTGATCTGTGATTGCAGATTCAGGAGATCGTGACTACTGGGAAGTTATCCAAGTTGGAGCACTTTGAAACAGATGAAAAGGTGTTGGAAAGATCCTCAGTAAATTTATGATTTCAGTATTCTGCTGCTAATTTGAAATCTGAACTCTTATGTCATATAAATTGTAAATACACTACTTCACTTATGATTTATGTTTATGGGTGTGTAAATGTGTAATATACATACATGTATATGATAAAAAGAAGTCATGTCTTATCTATATCAACAGAGGTTGATTGGGGAACGCAATATTTGAGCTAATTCTGAGTCCACAACTTCATTTCGTTATTGTGTTGACGATTCTGGTTTCTCCTTTCGGTTAATGGATTGCAGGTACGAACAATCGCCTTATTTGAGGAAATTTGGGGTGTTGGTCCAGCTACGGCATTGAAATTATACGAGAAAGGATACCGCACATTAGATGAATTGAAGAATGAAGATTCATTAACTAAATCACAGAAGTTGGGGTTAAAATATTATGATGATATCAAACAGAGGATCCCACGTCACGAGGTCTAATTATAATGATGTTTCCTGATTTCTATGCTGACTTGAGTTCTTTTTACCCACAAAAATTGGTGCTTTTTATATTCTATAGGCTGAAGAGATGGAGCGCCTTCTACAGAAAGCCGGAGAAGAAGTTTTGCCTGGGGTAAGCATAATTACGTTTGATTTAACTGCTATGTGAGGCAACAAAGAACTGGTGTAATAGAGAGAATGAACTTAACTTCAGTTTGCATATTCACGCTGGTGTTAAACAGCTGCCATATTGTGGAATTAATTGAGCCAAATGAATCTATGCTTTTATAATCCCTTATATAGGTACGACTGTTATGTGGATCAATATAACATCCATTGACGCATTCCTTAAAAGCATTACTCTTGCACACAATTACAGCATTGGCTTCCATTCTAGTTTGTGGCTTTAATTTTTGTACTATACGTAGGTGGTCATTGTATGTGGAGGCTCGTACAGACGTGGGAAAGCTTCTTGTGGGGATCTCGACGTTGTAATTACGCATCCTGATGGAATGAGGTATGAAAGCGGTAATTTCTCATCCCTTTATTTTCTTTGCACTAAGAAATACTGATATGCATGTTTCTTAAGATCATAATGTAGTCGTTTTCTTACTATACTGGTCAAGTTCCTGGTTTTAATTTTGGAAAGTTTGATGTACTTTGGTCTGTGTTTTCAGTCATAAAGGCTTTTTACCAAAGTATGTAAAGCATTTAAAGGATATGAAGTTCTTAAGGGAGGATTTGGTTTTCAGTACCCATAGTGAGGAGGTAACATGATTTTTTCTCTGTTTATGCGTTTTTTTTCACGACTTTTCCAATGTACATATGTCAGTGTTACAGACACGGGGTTGTAAATTGAATTCAGGTTTCCACCTACTAGTTGAATGGTGGTAACTGTAAGAAGCTTTTGGCTTGTGTCGAGTCAAATGCTGCAAAAAGTATTTATACGTGTCTTAGTTGTTTTAATATAGAATCATCTGACTTCAGAAAGCATAGCCCATGTAATGTCTGCATAGCCCTAAGTGTTTCTTGGTTTATTATTCCATGTTATTATAATGCACTTTCCGTGGTTTATTATTGCTTGCATTAACTTCTTTATTCAATAACGTGAGCAGGGTACTGATTCCGGCGTCGACACATATTTTGGGCTTTGCACATATCCTGGACGAGAGCTGCGGCATCGCATAGATCTTAAGGTTTTTGTTGGTGATATTTATTTCATGTTTATTACTAGAAACATTTAGCAGCAGTTATTTTTTCTCCAAATTTTCATTGCCTTACGGTAATATAGGCACTCAAATCACATATTCGTACACTTACGCTATTGTAGTATATCCCTCCTCTTGGGGCATAACGGCCCTGGGTGATTGTTTTTATACTACATGCTTTGCTTTTATAGGTCTACCCACGGGAAATATATGCGTTTGGAATAATATCTTGGACAGGGAATGACGTATTGAATCGGAGGTTTGTTTACTTCATTGACTTCTACACTATTTTAAGCATAGTTTCTCATATTTGAAGCATGCTCAAATTAGAGGGAAGAAGAAACATTTTTGATTTGTTAGTCTCGTAGTTCTATAAACAGAATGTCCAGGACTCATTGACGCCATGTTTTCGAGAACATTCTCTGTATCATTTCTCTCATACCCGTTGGGCAGTATTGTATACAATTATCATTTGAATCCTTGTTTTCTGATGTGTCATATTAGGGTAATTGTCATTCACACATATGCTAAGCCGAAAAGTTTGTAAATCCTATCTATGAATGCAGGTTGAGATTACTAGCTGAATCTAAGGGATTCCGGCTTGATGACACAGGGCTGTTTCCAGCCACGCAGGGCTCTTCTGGCGGTAAACGGGTAAAGGCCTGTTGTTTTTGGGGTCTTTCGACCACACTTTGCATCCCTTTCACGGTTCGCTTAGCCTGCTTGTATCATTTCTGTTTCAGGGAGCGAGGGCTAGCGCAAGCTTGAAGTTTGATACAGAAAAGGAGGTGTTTGATTTCCTCGGGTTTCCTTGGCTCCAACCGCAAGACAGAAATCTGTGAAATGTGTGAATGTTTTGTATGAGTTGTTTATTCCTGTGGACATAGGATCCCTTGTAAACCATGTAGCTCTTTTGTTTTCTCTAATTTATTTTGGACAGCCAAATGCGCAGCGATAAGTCTCCAAAAAAAACATAGGAAACTAATGAAAAAGGCTTGAAAAACTTTGAGTTTTAATGATAAGGATAAAATAAAGGGTAAAGTGAATAGGATTATGATTGATTTTTTAGTGTAAAAATGTGGTTTTTCGTTAAAATGAACAGTACCGGGAGCTCTTCGTTAAAGTTCTCAAAAAACATTTGTACTCGCATGTTATTGAAAAAATCCAACTAGGTTCCATGAGCCGCCACATAACGGAATAGCCTACATTTGTCTTTTTATCAAACATTAACTTCATTGACAGATGAAGATGGTAGATGAGATAAACATAAAAACATGATGCGATTAGTTTAGAAGGGTAAAATATGAATAATACTTGGCTACTTAAATATGAGTAGGAATTTCTACTCAAAATTTTTAATATTTTAATTACAGAGCTTTGTGCTTATGATCAGAATCGTTCAAACTATGAATCATTCTGTAAAGATCATCTCTGTAAAAAATAAATTAAAACTAAGGTCGTTTAGTCAATCTATTGTAGCAAATACATAGGCTGTTCGTAATGCTTTTATCAATACTATTCAATTGTTTTTAAACAATTTGATGACTAAACGATCTTTTTTTTAATTGATTTTTAGTAGATGTGATCTTTATATAATGATTTATAATATGAACATTTTTTATTATAAACATGAAGTTTATAAGTTGACAACGAACAATTTTGAGAAATTTTGAGTACTAGTTCCTACTATTTTTTAGTAACAAAGTATTGTTCCTAAAATATTTTTATTTCTTGAAAGAATTCAGTAGTCACATGTTCTTTATTCCAAATTAACCCCCTGTGACTGGGGGCTCAAATGCAAATGTGAAACAGTTAGAGGCCCTTGTGAGAAATCCAAATCCCACAATTCCACGAGTATATACGGCTTAAGGTTTTAGAGGAGGTTTAGATAAGAGAAGAAGGAAAGAGATGGGCTGGGCAACTGCAGCTCCGCTTCTATCACTGCCTCCTCCCAAGCTTCACTCTTCCCCTTCCTTCCTCTCTTCTTCTTCGTCTTCGATTTCGAGTGTTAGGGTTTCAAAAACCAGTAGTATACATTTTTCTTCTGCTTCGCCATTTTTGTCCTCAGAAAAGCACCAGATATGCAGAGCAGCGGGCGAATACAAATTTCCCGACCCAATTCCTGATTTCGCTGATGCCGTACGTTTTTTTATTATTTTTTATTTTTTATAATTTTAAGAATTAGTAGTCATTTTTCTCATAAAGATTTGATTTTTATTCGATTTCTGGGTGTTTTTTTTGGGTGCAGGAGACAGAAAAGTTCAGGACCCATCTGCTGAACAAGCTCTCGAAGAAAGAAATGTATGAAGACTCTGTCGAAGAAATCGTAGGCATCTGCACTGAGGTACTTCAACGGCTTTCCGATTTAAACTTGCATCAATCTATCTTTTTAGACTCTTTAAATTGCTGAATGTCTATGTTATGGCAACCAAAATATGTTACATCGTGTTATAGCTACCAAAATATGTACATCACATTGTTGTCTTTCGGGTGGCTCGGCCTGAACTTGGCTATTTCGATTAAATTAGACTAATGTTCTGGCCGCTGTTTGATGAACTTATTAAAATCCGAGACGATGGACCAAACCCCACCTATTGTGTCCCTGTGCAATTGACATTTTTAGACTACGCACAATTGGCAGGCACGTTTTTCGCTGTTACATAGCAGCTAGGTGGATTTGGGAAAGGTTCATTCAAAACAAAAATGCAGGATTTGCATGTTACGGTTTCTGGATAACGGATAACAGAACTGCTTTGTGAATCATTTCTTAGGTGGCTTGGTATTGCTGTGCTTTGAAAAAAAATTGCTTCTGCTGTGCTGTGAGAATAAGCTCATTTTTGCTGCTTCACGTTTTTAGCATTTTTTTCACCCAAAACTGTGAAAATAAGCTGTTTTTAAGTGTTTACCAAACACATTTTTTAGCTCAGCTGTTTTTTGATACCCACTTTTTATAAAAGCACCTCAGTACCAAACCAGTACTTATAGAAATGTTTCAAAGCCGCTTCTGCTGCGTGTGGATTTTAGATACTTTATATCATCTCTAGGGGTAAGATTCATGTTGATTTGTTGGAGTATATAGGCACTAAACTATTTTCCCTGTGATGATTCTTGTCAACAGATATTCAGTACTTTCTTGCATACCGAGTATGGTGGTCCTGGGACACTCTTGGTGGTTCCATTCATTGACATGGCTGATACTCTAAATGAACGGGGATTACCTGGAGGCCCCCAAGCAGCTCGTGCGGCAATCAAATGGGCGCAAAATCATGTCGACAAGGACTGGAACGAATGGACTGGTGGTGATGAAAGTTAACAGGAAGCTCAAGCTCGTGTTATGCAAGGTTGTTTCGTTGTAGTTTGCTAGTTTAAGGATAGGTTATGGAGTTGATCAAGCAGTTTTGGTATCTGTTGTGCTTGTAAAACCGATGGCAAGGGAAATTTGGAAGTGTATTAGTTGCTTTTGTTGTAACATTATGCTGTGAATCTGTTCCTGGTCTATCAATAAAAAGCTGTTCCTTCTTCCTTATGGTCCGGTCATCTTCTATCATTCGGTGGTGAAATTCGCATATTTGTTTTGAATGTTTTTCGTAAATCCAAAGGCTTAATCCAGTTTAATCGAAATCATCTTTCTCCCCAAATGAATTCACTCGCTGATTTGTTCTCGTTGGAAAACTTCGGCCTATCTTGGATAAACTCCTCAAGAAACGGAGAATGCGGTGGCGTAAGGCCTGCTGGAACCCGACTCTAGCCTCGGATTTCAGGTTGATTCTTGAGCCACTCTCACTTAATGGCGTGCAAAGACCTTAGTCATGATTAATTTTTGGTATCACCAGTTGTATACAATCATGTTTATCTTTGTCAACCACCAATAGTTCCTCTATTGGACGAACTCATGGTAAAGGGTCTGAAAAGATAAAACAAAGAATAAAACAATTTGCAATGGAGTCCCACATCGATTAGGAGAAGCACACCAACCATCCAAGACGTATTACATAATGCTTCTCCAGCTGACAGTTATAATCACGGAGCCGTGCGGTGAGCACAAAGCGAACTATTCTTTCGCCTTTTACTAAAGAATACCGTGTGTGCACCGCTAATATCGGCATACGCCTATTTTTTAAAGGGTACTTTAACTTTGAAGTGCCCTGCAAATTACAGTCTAGTGTTTGTTTCTAAAATGCGACTGGTGTAATGTGGCATGATTCTCTCCAGTTATCCATGTATGTCTGGAGTAATGGTATTTTAAGATAGTATTTTGAAGATTCGTTTGGAAGTGTTTTCAACACAGGTGTAAGCAAGCATATAGAAAGTACTTCAAGTGCTTTTGGAACCCAAGATCATTTTCTTTAAAAGCGTTTTCATTTATTTTAAAAGCACTTTCAAATGAGCCTATATTTGTTCCGAAATTGTTTGGAACATTTGGATTTTGCTCTGAGTGGATGTCGAATTTTATTTGAGTGTACCAAAGTTGGAAATTATGAGATCGGAGTTGGTCCTAAACCCTGAACTGGCTGTGACTGTAGAACCATTTGCTGCTGTTGAGGGGCTTTGCTAATGAACATTAGGTTAAGAGTGAATTCTTCCTTTTAATTCAAACGCCTACATGACAATACGTTATTAGTTTGGCAGCCACATTAGCGTCCAGAATGTAGTCAACGCAGAATTACGAATAATATATCATATTAAGACAATGCTACTCAGTTTGACACTTCCCCAAAAGCACTTGAGTGAAACCAGTAACACATTCATAGATACTTTATATCATCTCTAGGGGTAAGATTCCTGTTGATTTGTTGGGGTATATAGGCACTAAACTATTTTCCCTGTGATGATTCTTGTCAACAGATATTCAGTACTTTCTTGCATACCGAGTATGGTGGTCCTGGGACACTCTTGGTGGTTCCGTTCATTGACATGGCTGATACTCTAAATGAACGGGGATTACCTGGAGGCCCCCAAGCAGCTCGTGCGGCAATCAAATGGGCGCAAAATCATGTCGACAAGGACTGGAACGAATGGACTGGTGGTGATGAAAGTTAACAGGAAGCTCAAGCTCGTGTTATGCAAGGTTGTTTCGTTGTAGTTTGCTAGTTTAAGGATAGGTTATGGAGTTGATCAAGCAGTTTTGGTATCTGTTGTGCTTGTAAAACCGATGGCAAGGGAAATTTGGAAGTGTATTAGTTGCTTTTGTTGTAACATTATGCTGTGAATCTGTTCCTGAGGTCTATCAATGAAAAGCTGTTCCTTCTTCCTTATGGTCCCGTCATCTTCTATTATTCGGTGTTGAAAATTTTAAGTCAGTTTTCGCATATTTGTTTTGAATGTTTTTCGTAAATCCAAAGGCTTAATCCAGTTTAATCGAAATCATCTTTCTCCGCAAATGAATTCACTCGCTGATTTGTTCTCGTTGGAAAACTTCGGCCTATCTTGGATAAACTCCTCAAGAAACGGAGAATGCGGTGGCGTAAGGCCTGCTGGAACCCGACTCTAGCCTCGGATTTCAGGTTGATTCTTGAGCCACTCTCACTTAATGGTGTGCAAAGACCTTAGTCATGACTAATTTTTCGTATCATCAGTTGTATACAATCATGTTTATCTTTGTCAACCACCAATAGTTCCTCTATTGGACGAACTCATGGTAAAGGGTCTGAAAAGATAAAACAAAGAATAAAACAATTTGCAATGGAGTCCCACATCGATTAGGAGAAGCACACCAACCATCCAAGACGTATCACATAATGCTTCTCCAGCTGCCCGTTATAATCACGGAGCCGTGCGGTGACCACAAAGCGAACTATTCTTTCGCCTTTTACTAAAGAATACCGTGTGTGCACCGTTAATATCGGCATACGCCTATTTTTTAAAGGGTACTTTAACTTTGAAGTGCCCTACAAATTACAGTCTAGTTTTTGTTTCTAAAATGCGACTAGTGTAATGTGGAATGATTCTATCCAGTTATATGTTTGTCTGGAGTAATGGTATTTTAAGATAGTATTTTAAAGATTCGTTTGGAAGTGTAACACATAGTGCTTTTTAATAAAAATGTTTTCAAATGAGCCAAAGTTTGTTCCGAAATTGTTTGGAACATTTGGATTTTGCTCTGAGTGGATGTCGGATTTTATTTGAGTGTACCAAAGTTGGAAATTATGAGATCGGAGTTGGTCCTAAACCCTGAACTGGCTGCTCTGCTGTGACTATTGAACCATATGCCACTGTCGAAGGGCTTTGCTAATGAACATTAGATTAAGAGTGAATTCTTCCTTTTAATTCAAGCGCTTACTCGGTATAACAATTACGAAACCCTTGATTGAAACCATATTATCGTGTCGACATTGGTTTGTGGATAGATCGGGACACCACAATGACAATGCGTTATTATTTTGGCAGCCACATTAGCATTCAAAGTGTAGTCAACACGAAATTATATGATTTTAAGATAATGCTACTCAGTTCAACACTTCCAAAAGCACTTGAGTGAAACCAAATAAAACATTCATAAGAACTAATTACAAATCTGGGGGACCTCGATCCATAAGCTCTTCCCTATCAATGAAACGCTCCAGCAACTTTCTCCTGCAAAACCAAGCAATCTTCGGACTTGCCACAGATGTCGTAGCGCCGCTTGGCAACGTAAAGGGTCTAAAAAGATAAAAACATAGAATAAAACAATTTGCAACGCAGTCCCATATCGATTAGGTGAAGTGCACATACCATTGAAGACGTACTACATAATGCTTCTCCAGCTGATTGTTGAAATCACGGAGCCATGCGGTGAGCACAAAGCGAATTATTCTTTCGCCTTTTACTAAAGAATACCGTGTGTGCACTGCTAATATTGGCATACGCTTATTTTTAGAGGGTACTTAAATAAGAAGTGCCCTACAAATTACAGTCTAGTGTTTGTTTCTAAAATTCGACTAGTGTAAATTAGTATGATTCTATGCAGTTTCCCATTTATGTCAGGAATATTGGATTTTGAGGGCTTATTTGGAAATTCCTTGGTGTTTTGATGAAATGTTTTCGGGATTAATTTTTAGTAATAATACAAGTGAATCTTAAGCATTTCAAATGCTTTTAGAACCCAAAACATTTTCTTCTAAAAGCGTTTTCAGTCATTTTAAAAGCGAACAAGCACTAATTCTGTTTCCAAAGTGTTTGGAATATTTGGATTTTGTGAGTGTACCAAAGTTGGAAATTATGAGATCGGAGTTGGTCCTAAACCCTGAACTGGCCGTGACTGTTGAACCATTTGCCGCTGTTGAAGGTTTTGTTAATGAACATTAGAATAAGAGTGAATTCTTTCTTTTAATTCAAACGCCTACATGACAATACGTTATTATTTTGGCAGCCGCATTAGCGTCCAAAGTGTTGTCGACGCAGAATTTCGAGTAATATATCATTTTAAGACAATGGGAAATTACGAGTAATATATCATTTTAAGACAATGCTACTCAGTTTGACACTTCCAAAAGCACTTGAGTGAAACCAAGTAACACATTCATAAGAACTGATTACAAATCTGGGGGAGCTCGGTCCATAAGCTCTTCCCTATCAATGAAACGCTCCAGCAACTCTTTCTCTTGCAAAACCAAGCAATCTTCGGACTTGCCACCGATGTCGTGGCGCCGCTTGGCAACGTAATCATAGATCATCTCTCTCAGAGGAGTCGGGATCACCATGAAAGCACTCAAAGCAGAGTAAGGGAGAGGCAAGTAGGACAATACTCTCAGTGCAGCTGCAGAAGAATCATGTCAAATGAAATTTCAAAAGATGGAGTACGACAAGGTTGCAACAATCTAAAGCTAATGCCGAGAGATTCTAACCAGTAGAGCCTTGGTGGTAAAGCCCCGGGCCTTCGACGAACAAAAATCGACGAAGAACGTCCTCTCGATCAAGACCACACAATCTCAGGTAAGGCTCGGCAGCCTCCGATTGGACGCAGCAGAATTTGATCTTCCTGTACTTGTCTGCTTTGATCACCCACTTCACCCCTGTTTGCAACAACATTTCAGACCAAGACCCAATTTCCCAATTCGGATCAAATTGAAAACCCTAGAAATTCAAAGGGGAAATGGGATTTCTGAAATACCTCCATGGCAGAGATGGCAGACCCCATCGTACACCACGACGCCTGGCTGAAGGATAGTGGGTAGCATGATCTTCGCCACCGTGGAAGCAGTCGGGTTACAGTAGATGGGCACGTCGTCATCTTCTTCTTCGCCCATGTCAGCGAGGTCGGCAGCAGTGCTCGAAACGACGTCCTGCGGAAACGGTGTTTTGGAAGAAAATAGACATTTAAACGAAGGAGATGGAGAAGAAAGTGAAGCTCTTGTTTTTGTAAGTTTCGGCAGCAATCTGATCAGCCTTGCCGCCGTCATCTTTGGCTCTGGTTTTTGAGGGGTTTTAGCGGCGGCACCGACTGTCGTTCATGAGTTTAAGTTCCCATCACTCAACTGACGAAAGAAAAAGGGATCGCATCATTTTTAGGGCCATGCCTTCCTTGGTCCCCAAGTTATGGGTTTCAAAATTTAACTCAATTAGTTCGTTTTCACATACTAAGATGTATCTCATTGATTAAAACGGATATGCTTTTCTGAATGTTTTCAAATACGAATCCTCTTTCTTTGCGGTTTGAAAAGTTATGGGCTTCAAAATTTAACTCAATTTGTTCATTTTCGCATACTAAGACGTGGCTACATTGACTAAAACAGTTATGTTTTTCTGAATGTTTTCAAATATGAATCCTCTTTCTTTGCGGTTTGAATTAGTTTAACGTAAAACTTTGTTTTTAATACATAAATGTTATTTGTCTAACTTGACGATTACTTTAACGTTATTTGAGTCGAATAACCGTAAATTAAGCTAGTTGGCTCAAATTGGAATCTACAAACATTTATTTAGGCATCGAGATGGACATTAGAAGATTACATGAAAGTATTGGTCATATAAATATGGTAGAAAATCACATGGTGTCTGCTTATAACGCCGAATTTTATAACGTCGGATAGCTTTAGAAGAGACCTGAGGTTGAAAGCTTTGTCCAATTACAACAAATGAATTGATTCCAAGCAAATATTTCGTCGTATAAATGGTGGGAAAAGCACATTGTATCTGCTTTTGTTTAATGAAAGATGATAATTGGTTCGGCGAATCGAACTTCACATAAGGCTTTATCTTTTCTGTATGCAGAGGCTTCCAAATCCCATCTTTGCAGGGTGCGAGTTTGCAAAACTGAATCTCCCTTTTGCATCACGAGTTATATGACCGCGGGTGCCGCTCCCCGGCTCTACCAACGTTAGTAGATGGGGAATAGGGGGTAGGTTTCTCAGCTGAAATCATTCCTGTGCTGCTAATTAATGCCACATGAACCACATAGTAGCAAAGCATCACCGAAGACACACTGGTCGTCATACACACAGCTGGAAGCCCAAAGATCCTGAACTTATCAGGGTCTAATCTTCGAAAAACTCAGTCACCTGCATCAACACTCAACTTGAGGACAACGAGTAACAAAATTCGTAATGATCATATTAACTTTCTGTTTGATATCAACGCGAAAATACCCAGCAGTAGACCGTGCTTTAAACTACTTCCCAAACTCCTCCTCTTGGACTTGACCGTCTGCATAGCAAACAGATACTGATAAATTAAATTGGTTGGTCAGATGACCGTATGCAGATTGAAACCTTATAAATGCAAATTCAGAATTGAAAGCCTCACTGCTAAGACGGACTGCCAAGTTTGCTTGAGCATCTGCCTCCGAATTTTGTTCCTTTGGAAGTCAAGAAAATGTCAAAACTTCATAACCATCCCCAATAAGGTGGTAAATTACTGGGTCTGGGACAGATGAGCAATTAACAAGAAGTGCAACCCGTAACCCACAAAATTATCGTATAACACAAAATATAAACAGAACCAACTTCACCCACCCTGAGAACATGACTGATCTGGAACGAGATAAATTTATCCTTCAGTTCCTTCACCTCTTCACACAAATCGGACATGTTTTGGTTTCGGACCTTCCATAATCCCTGAACCTGTTCCCATAACACCCACAGTTACACACTTGCGGAACAAAAGGAACTGACAACTACATATAAGGAAGGAAAGGTCCTTTAAGAAAGTACACACTACACAGCTTCTTTTCAAGCTTAAAGACCGAAACAGAATATGCATCAGATCAAATTTTCTTTTTCAAAATCAATCAAGACAAGAGCAACCTAAAGATGATGGCATTGGTATTTAAGAACATCAACCAGTATATGCAGGTTAGTGACTGAATTTGCCAAAAACCGTTTTAAACCAGCAAAAGTACGCCAAAGGATAACAATTCAAGACAACCAAATATAAGATAACAAGGTCATTAACAAACCTGCATACAGACGAGTTTGGAGTCACCCTTGATACGAATCTTAGTAAAACCTTTCTTAAGAGCATATTTTAGCCCTAGAATCAGAGCTCGGTACTCAGCAACATTATTGGTTCTAACACCAAGACCTTCATGAATTTTACAAATCTACAGAAAAAGAATGGTCAGAGAGAAGATTTTTCATGTGTTTAAATATAGACAAACCCCTTAGGAAAAATACTTACCAAACTTCCATCATCAGCACGCAACACAGCTCCAGCACCCGCTAGTCCAGGATTTCCTTTTGATGCACCATCAAACTCAAGAATACAGGACTCCTAACAATATGACATGACCACAAAATCAATTGAGGAAATCCCAAAAAGAGGCATAGTAGTTCATATATGTAATATCTAAATAATAAAAAATATAGAAATATTTTTCCAACCGTCAAACATCGCCAAATATTCAACTTACAGTGTCCAAGGGTGGCGATTCAGTGAAATGTTCTATTTCGACATGCTTTCTGAATTGGTCTTCTAATATGGAAGTTGAACCAATTACTTCCTGCAAAGCATCGAAATGTGTAGTAGAGACTAAAGTAGCCAAAACAATTAATGATACAAAACAAGCCTAACATTTGAATATGGATAAATAAGGAAAAAAAATTACACAACGGCTAGAAACACACAAAATCATTCTTGTACATAACGAAATAGTAACACTGAAAAAAACACCAAATTTTCCGGTATATACTCGAAATTTCAGAAATAAGGTACTAATGACATGTCCAAGACATCTATTGTTGTTCATTTTCTTGAACAAGGGTATTCCAGTTCAGAGATAGCTATGATTCTGAACTTACCACATTTTCCGACCCAGGCACTTCACGGGGTCTCTTTTCGGATGCATCCAGCGCAGATGTTTCATCTTTTGAAGATGTTGGATCCTAAAACGAGAAAGACAACAACATAATCCTACACCACTACAAAGCCAATCCATAAAAACAATAGCATCTCTTGGGCAAAATTACATTGTTATGTCCCTCGAGACCAAGTAAAGCAACTCAAAACTCGCACAAACAACTACTATGCCATAAATTGCAAGTTCATTTCGAAATGGGAAGGCGGAAAAATCCGCCTTTCGGAATTGCAAAACGGAAGTAACAAGTGGAACTCTTACTTGAAAAGGGCAATGCAGAAGCTTGCCGAAAAGATCATCCTTCAAATCCTCAGCTCTGATGGTGTAAATTGCGTTCTTAAGTCCAAACGAAACGAGATAATCTTCAGTTTCCTCAGTCAAAGAGTACCCTTTGTACACACTAACGGGAGGATCAAATATCTACCACAATTCAAAAATTCAAAAATAAATAGGTAATAATATTGAAATTAAACCACATTTTAATTCATTCAACCCAGAAAAATAAATAAATAAAATTATGAAATTACCGAAGAACCAAGCTGGGCCTGGCAATCGCTGAAGCTCTTGTAAACACCGACGACATCCCCTTTACGAACTACATAAAAGGCGTCCTTTTCCGGTTCAGTAACCGGTTCGGGTTCGGACTTTCTTCGCGAACGAAGCGCCGTCGTCTTGCTGCTGCTGCTTCTAGAGGAGTAGAGCTGGACATGGAGTCTCGTTGATTCTAAGTTGATAGACTTAATCCCAATCGGACGGTTGAATTTTGTTCTCCAGGGAAGAGGTGTGCACAGATAAGAACTCGCCGCCGCGACGAAGCAAGACTTGGTTCTGAAAATGGCGGTTGTGCAGGACGAAACTTGCGACAAGCAGTTCATCACAGTTACCAGAGGACGATGGATTGTGCAGGATTCTGAAAACAGAGTGGCCACAGGGCCGGAGGCAGAGCAGAGAGTCAAGGATATGGGTTTTTTACTGGGCCAACTCGCTACGGACACTAATCGCAAATAGTGGGTTGTCGGCAACGGCCCAGTTATTCGTCTTGAATAGCTCGCCCATCTCATAAATCATAGCGCAACCCTACACTAAAATCTCACTTGAATCAATGGACAATGCGATGATAATACACATCTGTTCTTTAATAAAAACGAATTGTTGATTGTCTTTGAATTAGCCTCAACGATTTATGTAGTATACACTTTGCCTCAATAACTTGGGTGTTGTCTTAGGTAGTCCAGCCTACCAAATAAGCCGACTTTTCAAACAATCTTCACAGTTCGATTTTTTAGAGTCAATCTTAGTAGTCACTTACTATTGAAGAAAAATTGCAGTATTTTCCAATCTGGGTGTTGCCAAACTGGTTAGGGGTGTAGGAAGAGTGGCGCCACTCTACCCGAAGACGGAATCCCCTACTCGTAGTTTAGACTAGATTAGAATATTCTATATAATATAGAAGGAAAGAGGGGGAAGAAGAGCAAATTTCATTCATACATTTGCACTTTGCAGTTTACAGTCCCACACTACCACTCCATGTTCTCATACAATGGCCTGGTCAGCTTTCTACCTTTGAAGCCAAAACAGCTTCTTTGGACCCATATTTTGCGAACACGTCACCAAGCACAGCCTTCTCCTTCACCTTCAACCTACAGCACAAGCAACAAACTTGATGTAATTTTGTCCTAAGGAAAGAACAGACTGAAAAATTTCAGTAAATATGCAGCTGAAGCTGATTACCTCTTGGCTGATCCGCCGACCGTCAACTTTGGAACCTTCACTGCTTTTTGTTTCACATTAAGCTTCTTCTTCTTCTTATTCTTAGGCGAGCTTTCGTCTTTCCCTTTCATAGCTGGCTTTTGTCTGGGAAGCTTCTCTTCTTTTGCTTTGACAAGTAGCTGCTTCGAGGAGGATGAATCTGCTGATAAAGACTCGGATTCCGTCCTTGATTTCATGCTATCTCTATCTCCACCATCTAGGTCTGAGCCACTGATAGATTCCAAATTCTCTATGGCATCTTCCAGTTCTGATTCATTGAGTTCAAAATCAGAGCCGTCGTATTCATCAACTATGGTCTCCTCCCATGTCTCCTGGGAAGAATCATCCAAGTCAGAATCAGCTTTCTCATCTTCCAATTCAGAAACAGTTAGTTCACGAGCAGTATGGTTATCCGATGAGTGTTCCATGACGTCTTCCAGTTCTGGTCCAACAATCTCAACATCAGAGCCCTCATATTCATCAAGGGTAGTCTCCTCCAATGAGTCCATGGAAGAATCATCCGAGTCGATATCAGCTTTATAATCTCCTTCCAATCCAGAAACAATTAGTGGGAGAGCACTACGGTTATTTGTTGATTGTGTCTGATCCAAATTCGGCTGTGGCGTATCTACCAGCTCACATTTTATCTGCTTTTGAATTTTACCAAATGTAACATTCTGTGAAGAAAACATCTCTACAAACCTGCAATGATAGAAAAACCAATCAACTCGTATAATAGAATACCGGCATTGTAATAAAACTTAGACCACAATGCAAACAATCAAGATTCAAAGGTAAATGCCGATATGCATATGCTTGATAGTACTCTCAACTCTCAATACTCATACTTAAAACGGAGCCCTGTCCTGCATTTTACAACCACACCTATCCACATAGACCGAAAACTTCCGCACCCTTCTAGTCAATCACTACCTTTCTTCATGTTTCATTTTTTAACAAAACGATATTCTAAACTACTATATCTACGGCGAAGGGATTCAAACTCGGGTGCAATTCAAAGTCGCATTCTCAAATTAGAATTCCATTCACATAAACCCTAAACCCTACACATACCTAGTTGCATCGATCTTGGACTTGAAATGAACAAAAGCAAAACCCTTGCAAATGGGGTCCTTAGTCTTCTTGTTTCCGGAAACCGCGGGGTTTATACTAATCAAACCCGGAACCAGCTTGAAAGCCGAGCTCAAATCCCTGTGAATGTTCTTCTTCTTCGGAAGATTGATCACCCGCACTCTAACTCCATCCGGAACCGCACCAACACCTGCAAATACAAATGCAGTAAAAATTGAATTAAAAGGTTTAAAATTTGAGTGCAAAATTGGACTCAATGGAGAAAAAGGCCAGACTTTTGCTGCTGTTCTTGCTTTGGTCTCCCTTCGAATTCGGCTTTTCGGAGAGCTTGGCGAGATTACTCTCGGCCTGTGCTTTCTTACTCTTCTCAATTTCTTCGAGCAGCTTCTCTTCAATCGAAATGTCGTACTCTTTGCCTTCTCCGAACCCCCGCGGCTTCCTCTCCAGCCACTTCTTCATCTTCCCAAACGGCACAAACGCGTCTTCGTCATCGTCTTCCTCCTCACCACCGAACACGTCATCAGAGCCGTCCAATTCCAACTCCTCCTCGTCATCAGAGTCGTCGTCCGTTACAACGCCGCCTCTCCGTTGCCTTTTCTGGGAGGAGACTCCCGGCCCGCTACTTCTCCTGGCTTGGACGGCGAGAAACCCGAGATGGGCGCGGTGGGTTTGCCGAATGGGAGGGAGGAAGAAGCTGGTTTTGAAAATGGCTGTGGGGAGTGAGGAAGAAGAAGTAGATGGGAGGGGAAAGACGGCGAAGCCCAATTGGGATTTGTGTGGCGGGAACGAGATGGCGGCGGCGAGAAGGGATTTGGAAGTGCAAGAAGGTGGAAACCTGCCGGTGCTTATCATCTTTGCCGCTCAGTCGCCTTTTCCTGTTCCTCTTTCTCTCTCTGCTCACTGAGTGACCGAGCAAATGGATAAATTCATCAACCGCGTTGATATTAACCACAATATGTGTGAATTAATAAAATAAAGTGGGAAACAATTCCAACATGGTTTCGTGGTGTAGTTGGTTATCACGTCAGTCTAACACACTGAAGGTCTCCGGTTCGAACCCGGGCGAAGCCATGAATTTTTATAAACTCAATTTTTTTTGGTTATCCTCTTTTGAGGTTTTGTTCAGTTGGGCTGGGTTTAGAGCAAATGAATTTATTGACTGAGTTTGGTTGCTCTTTCATACCCAACCAATTGAAATTGAAGGCCCATTGACTGTTTAAGTATAATTTAGATTAATTTTGAATTTTGAATTTTGAATTTGAAGTGGTTCTTGCTCTATATGTTTATTAGATTCACATCTTTCTTTCTTTTTGTCCAGGATTAGATTCACATATTTCATTGGTCAAAAATACAAAATATCCTCCTTCAAATAGTTACGTTTTTAATTTAGTGTAAATTATCGCTTGTACAAAATAATCAGTCTACTAAACTGATGTATTGTGGTATTTATACCGAAATATGAGAAATCCTCAAAGTTTGTTGAATGAATAATATGAAGATGATAAAAGTTACTTTAAAGTACTACATCAGAACATAGATTCACTAAGAATCCTAATTGAAAGCAAAATCAAAATTAAAATTCCAAAAACACCCTCAATTTTAAATTGCAGTTTTGACCTAGTAAATGATAGGATTTGGCCTTAAAAAATCATATTGAAGCTTGGAGTTCAAACCTACAAAGCTTGAACTTCGCTCTTTACATTTGTTAAGGTGTTCTTCAATCCACTGTGTCATCTGTTCTACATCACAAACGAAGCCTCAAAACCCAGTTCATGAAGTAGCCATTGTTGAATGGTGACAACGTACGTAGACCACCAAGTGTCTTTCTCAAGGCTTGTTAATTTCTAAGATGTTAAGTCTTCCTTATTTGGCAAGTTGGCAACGTTGAGTCGACTCATTATTTTAGTTGAACAAAACACAGAAGTCAGTATCAAGCATGGACTTGGCAATAGAAAAATAGAACAAGACGCTCCCCGGGGGCTGAGGGTCATGGTCATGGTTCCAGCTCCCATTTCCAAACATGTTTTCTTGTTGGCATTAGATATTAGGTAAGTGAGAGCTTTCCATCGCTCTCTAACCTAGAAGTATCAACTGATTGACGTTTTAGTTGAACATATGAATATGACTGATAATTCATATACTAAATAGCTATGAATCATAGCTGAGAGTACCATAATTCCCTATTTCTTTCCTATTCTCTTTTACTGTTTATCTAAGAAATCGATTAAAACGATCAGAAATCAAATCTCCATTGTTGGATTGATTAAAATCAAATATAAACGACATAATGGTTGAATATATGGATGACGTAACGATAAAATGTTGAAATAACAATCACATATCAACGATAGACTGAACACTAATCATTTCAAATGAAGCTGGTTTTGGCCCTCCTTATCCAATATCCACCAAGCAAGTTAACAACTAAGTATTATAGTAACACTACTAGCTATTTTTATTATTTAATTTTCTTACTATATATCAAACATGAGAAGAGTTGTAACCCACGACAAGCCGGTTTTGTCAGTTGCATGACAAAGATGCAACTTCTGAATCCATTATTTTGGCATATGGGGCTTTGTCCCCATCAACTCAAATATAAGTTCAAATAAATCAAGGCATCATAATTGATCTACTACCTAGTTCTAGCCACTTCACAAAGAAGATAAATTGTTAATCAAATGATGTCTGTTAAGTTTTTGAGTCATTCTATATGGTTTAACGCACGTGTGTTAAGTCATATGGATAAGACAGTGTGCGCATTTTTTTTGTATTCAAGTTTGAGTTTTCACTTCAGAAGTTTAGAATAGAAAGAAAAAAAAAACCCATATGGTTCAATTAGTGGAACTAAACTTCAAATGTCCAATGGAACTTGTGTCAATCTCAATCTTCCCCATTGACCAAAAGTTCTAAAGGAAGTTTATTATGGGTCGTATAGAGTGTTTGAGAGTCTAAAACTAAAAGCATAGCTAAGAAAGGAACTGATACCAGAAAGCAAAATCACTAATACTCATTTGATTTTTATTTAACTTTATCTAATTAATTAATTTCAGCATCAATGAAGTTTATTCATCCAAAATCTAGCTTAGTCTGCACTCCTAACAACAAAAAAGAAAGAAGGGAAAAATAAAGGCCTTCCTCCAATTATCTGTCTGACTGGCAGATAATACAAGGCCGAAGTGAATAACAAGGAGAAAAAATCAAAAGCAAAAAAACAGTGCTGATCCCACTTTGTATTTAACTAACAATTTTAGAACATG